TCCTTCCACCGCTGGAACTGCGCGTTGTATCAAGTCACATCCGCGGCAGACGTCGACAGCAACGGCGCAACCGACTTCATCCGCTCGACCAGACGGATGAGATTGGCCTTGCCTTCCGGGCTCAGGATCTCCGGCGACTGCGCGAACGCAGGTACTGGAATCTGCGCCGCGAATGCGGTGATGGGCGCTTGCGCAAATGCCGGGGCGGGGATTGGCGTCGACGAGATGGCGGTGCGACCCAACTGGGTGCGGATGTGGGCAGTGGGAGACGTTGGTGCGGTCGGCTGCGTCGTTCTCGCTCCTCGCGCGCGCCAAGCAGCAAGCTCGGCTTCGACCTTCGCAGTCTGCGCCTCGGCCTTGACGAGGCGGCGCTCCTTCTCGGCGGCCTCGATGAGCTGGGTGACGTCGATCTTCTCGATGGCCTCCGTGAACGCGATCCAATCCTTCGGCGCCGAAGGCGTTCGGTCCTTGAGCGCGTCGGGGAGGTGGTCACGAACAGCCCAGATGTTGCTGCTGGTCTTGTCGACACCGGCCTTCTTCGCGGCGCGCGATAGCTTGCGCGCAAACGCAATGTGTGCGTGTGTATCGACCCCTCCGAGAGAGATCTTGGTGCCGATGTTGTCGAGTCCGATGCGCAGGGACGCCAGCTCCTTCTCCCACTCCTGCGGTGTCTTTTCGGCGGCGGGCGGGACGTCGAACTCCTTGACAAATGCGGTGCGCGCGGCGGCCCAGGTCGTGAATGGGGTGGCACTGGCCTGCTTCGCTTCGTACCAGATGTCGGCAGCTTTGCCGGCGAGAAGTGAGTCGCCGAACGACTCCAACTTCTCAGCCTCGGACAGTCCGAGGCCCAGCACTCGGTTCGCGAAGGTTCGAGAAAAGTCCTTGGCCGACACGTCGTCGGCCCCGGCCTCTCCCGAGTACATGCGGGTCTTCTCGGCGTCGGTCATGTGCGCCGTTTTGGATTTCGGTGTGGGGGTGGGCTGGGAGGATATGGCAGGGAAGGGGATGGTGGTGGGTGCGGTTGTAGGTGCGGTCGTGGGTGCGGAATAAGTTGGTAGGACTTCCGGGTCAAGTACAGGTGTGTGGGTGCGGGAGATTAGTTCAAATGGTGTGGTGGAACCGCTGCCACGTAGCGTCTCGGGGGTGCTTGGTCTGCTCGTCACTTCCGTCTCCTCTAGTGCTGCCTCTAGTCTGCGTGCGAAACGTCCCTTCCCGTCTCTCTGCTTTGGTTCTCGGCTGGTGCTGCGTCTGGCGTCGGCCACGGTTACTTCTGCGGTGCTATGTGCGTCGTGCGTGTGTCGAGTCGCGCTCTTGTCACCAGATGGAGTGGTCGTACTCGCGGTATGCAGCCAAGAATCAATGATGATCAACTATGTGCGCGTGTGTGGCTAAGGCGGGTGCACGTGACCCCTACTCCACTGCCTGAGATCAAAACCACGTAGTGCTGACATGGCAATGAAGTCCATGTTAACGTATCTAGAAAATGTCATCAGCGTCATTCAATCCGAGAATCTTGCCACATGTCACGCACCTCTCTCCCTTCTGCAAATCACCCAGACCATTGGGTCGCATGCACTCGTGTCAAGCACAGGCACATCCACCAATGCCGGACACTCTCAGACCGACTGTGTTGCGGGTATCCTTTTGCGCCAATGCTGCGAAAGCAATACAAGAACTGATCTGTGAAGAAATTCAGCGTTTCTCCATGCCTCGCAGACTGGCACATACATCTTTCTCACCGACGTAGCCACGCAAATGCTCACGATACCTCTTTGGCTCGACCCATGCTCCCCATCCTGGACCCAGTGGGGGGTCATCACGCTCATTCGGACGGATGATGTTCTTGAGCTTGAAGTTTGCATCAAGTGCGACTACGGTGCGGAACAAGTAGCTGTCTTAGAATCAGTCTCACGGTCTCTTGGTACCTGCGAATTGAATGCAAACTCACGCTTCCTTCTCATTGACCTTGTCCCATCCCGGTGGTAGGTTGCGTTCGCGATCCGGGCAGGCCCAGCACCTAACCGCACATTCCCCGGGCTTTGTGGTGGCAAGACCGTTGTCGACGTGACCTCTGCCTGCTTGCTTCGCACGCTGCAGATGGGTATATTCACGAGACATGCGGAGGAAGGTTGTATAACGATCCTGAAAGCTAGCAGTCAGAAGCGGTATGGTGGGACAAAACGAGGAAACATACTGCCACCTTCGCCAAGTGTGCAATGGCTGAAGCCGAAGTCATTTGCTCCAACGTCCGGATGAAGTCTTGCAAATTCAGGCAGCCTATCACGGTTGCCAGTCAGAAGTACTCCAGGCAACGGAAGGTTGCGCAAGTGTCGGGATCTCGTGTCGTCGCTGGAAACCATTTGTTACGCAGTAAAGCCTGGACGGGGGATGCTCGTTCACAGGCCTTGCAGCTACATCGCTGGTACGTCACTTGATGGATCCCATTGATGTCGATGACTACCATTGTTTGCAGTAGCGGATCGGGGAGGTAGCAGGGGCCACCACGGTGACCGAGTTGGTAAACAAGTCCCAATTCACGGAGCGTCGCCGACTTCCAGAAGGTACCGGTCCATGTCTTGGGATCAACTGTGAGTAAAGGACATGTATGCAGAATCGTATGAGCAAAACACACCGTGACGACATGCAGAGGAGCTCGCTGGTGTCTTTTGAGTCCGCACTCTGCACAGAAAAGTATGTCGCCACAGTCTGCGCAGCACAGAATCCCAATGCTGGGATTATCAGGTGATTCCCACCCACAGCCACACTCCGCACAAGCTAGGCCTTCCAACGGACCTCCCAACCCCGCAGCACGCAGAATCTCCTGGAGAAAGAGTTCCTGAACTTCACAGAAATCGACCATGGGGTTATCCTGACACGGGTTAGTTGAGTGGACACTCCAAACAACAATGACTCACGGAGCTCTGGTAGTACCGGCGTTTTTGAGAGTCGGGCGAAATCAAGTCCAAGGACTCCTCCAAATCCGGTGATATCTCGTCGGGTTGTTGTACCGGCGTCCATTGGGCAAGGGAATCAGAGAGCTCGCTGGCTTTGAGCGTGACAACACGACGTCTCTTGCTGAAGTGGACATTGGTGAGAGTTTGACGGTGTCTTCTCCCGTCATCAGAGACGCGAAAATTTGCATTGCCCGACCGCACACTGTCGTGGATGCCCTCGCCCTCGATGGAAACGGAAATGTCGAGCGTGGTGTCCTTGTGCTGCAAAGCAACCTTCGACTTCTTCTTCGCCATGTCTGCACGAAATTCGGGAAGGGTAAAAAAACTGATACTAGCGTGAAACTGGCTCCAAGCGAATACATATCCCTGGCAACTGATCCGCATGCCTGGGAATGCCACACGTGTGATGAGGGCATGAGTTTATGTGAGACACAGTGTCTTGCAAAGCCGTTATAGATGTATGCACTCCGGAATCAAACTGAGCGAGAGTGAGATCGGAGCGCTACAGCTTTGAGATGCTTGGATTGCATAGTGAAACCAGTGTTCTATGAAGCGTTCGAATATTGAGCTACAGAAGCTCACACAGGCCCACATTTGACCTGTTAGTCTCCTCACTTTCTCAAATTGAATCCCTTTCCGCGAGCGAACCATACAGCATCTAGGTAGCCAAGGCAGCCCATTGTAACTTCGAGTGTGTGAGCTCGAGCAGGCATTCAGCCACTATCTAAATTCGAAGTAGACGTAAAAAGATTGTGGATGGTGGCAGCATTAACAATATTGCATTGAGCAGGTGCACCGGTTTAACGAAACATTTGGTACCTCAATAGTATTTGTGATTCAACAGGCGAGATATTCTTCCAATTTGGATGTATTAGCATGAAAGAGGATACAAAAGTAGTTTCCTGGGAGTAGATTTACTTTTGCGTTGAGAATACACGAAACAGTGGTCAGAGCGCGCTCATTAGTCCCGTTTTGGAATGTGATCATCTCACGTGTGGTGATGGTCATCGCGACCCCCGCTGCTTTTTGTTATCTGCCCCAAGTCCAGACTCCGCTATCAATACATCCTTTAGTGTTGTAGGTGTCAACTAAAGGATTAAGCCATATGGAAGGATGTGAATCAATGCTCATAGAGGGAACGGATCGATTAACATAGCTACAATCCTACAATAACAAGGAAAGGATGCAAACATTGTATTGGGGAGATGGCACTACGTAGCACTACAAGATTGCTACACTCGGGGAAGTAGCTCAACTGTACCCATAGCGGTAGGCTTGATTGTCGAAGCGTTTCCGATAGCCATGCAAGCGCTTTGCTGCCGCGTCAATAAGAGGATGGCATTGTTAGCAAGCCCGACCCACTTCCCATGTGTAACCACATACCACTGCTCCCCCTTGTCCGGAATGGCCTAGATATCAGTAGACGTGATAACACCAAAGCACTTCCCAGTTACTCATGGCTCAGAGTTATGGATAGTGATGCATGGGGTGGGCATCGGAGTCGGACACAGGAACGGTGCCTCTGAGCAAAGGTAAGCTGAAGATCAGGTAGATGAAGTGCACACGAAACTGTGGGCTGGGCCTGTCTGATCACCTTGCACGGGTGAAGTTCGCTCGGCAAGCGAGCGAAGAGAGCACGGACCACATCAGAGGCAGTGTCAATCTCGTCCAGCAATCTCGTCCAGCAGTTCTAGAACTCAGACAAGTCAGCTGATGAGACGGCTCATGCGGATGAGACGTACCGTGATCTGTGGCAAGCTCAGTCGTGGTCAACGTGCAAGCCATTGAGGTGAGAGCATTGATGTCGATGGTGACATCGACGAGAGCTTTTTGGGCTGTGATTTTGCTTGTCAGTAGCGGACTGAGAGACAGAAGTAGAGATACGCCCCATAGTCAAGAACACCGGCAGGGACTACAAGAGAGCAAGAGCAATGCAAATCAAGTAGATAAAACGATACGCTAATGTGAATCTCCATGAATGTTGACATGAGCACATCAAATCGACTCACCTAGACTTTTATTTTTTTCCCTGCCCATATCCAAGACATGGCAACACAAATTCCGAAGAGTATTCGATATGGCACACGTGGTACACAGTTTCCGCTGAGGCTGAAGTTGAATCTGACCCTTGATATAGCAAAGAAACAGTCCAAGAAGATGGCGAAGTCGAAGTCAGAGCAGAGGAGCCTGAAGTTTTGGGCACAGGGTGTTCGGGAGGATGAGATTTTGGCCCCGCACATACAAAGATACCGAGATGCGCTGGAGCGGGGCCGACGTGCTGAGGCAGCATATCTCCAACGCGTCTGTCATGAATACCACGCTCGAGTGCCATGGCAGACCCGTGACAACGAAGAGCCTCCTTTGCCCCTGCCAGCGTATGACCCACGTGCACCTGTGGTCGAGGAGGTCCTTGAGGAACACGAAAAGCCCATTCGCGCTGCCCGGAAGCAAGAGCTCAATAAGGTGCGTCAAGTGACATGATCAATGACCACAGTGACTAACCTGGCTGCTCTCTCCCACAGCGTATTCGCCGATGGCTTGTCCGTCATGCTAAGAAGATCGGTGCTATGACAGCCAGGGGCGAGGGCGCTGAGGGCCCATTCACGCTCCTACTCGCCCAGCTCACTGACCTCACTCCACCCTCAAAAGCTCGCTCCGGACCTCAGCAGCTTATGCATGACGACTACGACACTCTGGTGGCAGAAACTGCTCAAGCTGAATGGCCGGCTGCATGGGAGGATTGGAGGAAGCAGAGAAAGGTTAAGCGGAAAGGGAAGCGGAAGATGGGGCAGGATTTGGATATTGGTGTCGAGCTGGATTCCGATTCCCTTGATCCCGTCGCCGACTCCGATGACACGAAGCTGCCAAATGTACCCATTTGGTTCAAGTCGAAAACCGCAGACAAGATCTTCAGGATGATGTCGACGGCCGAGAAGAAGATGTACACAGATTGAGCGACGGCCGACAAAAAAGCTCGTGTCGCGTCGTTTGTTGATGCTATGGAGAATCCGTCACAGAAACCGGTTGACCGTCAGCGGTACGTGAATACTGTTCCCATCGCTTTTTACATGTCACTGATCAATGTGCACAGGTGTATCAACGCTCTACCGGTGTTTATGGGCCGGATTCTCAAGGGCATCTTTGATTGGACAGGGCTCCATGGGACAGTGACCTTCACCGGCCCAATTCCCAAGTACAACGGCGAACTTCAGACAGTCAGGTGAGTCGTCAGACGCAGTACTATGCAGATGAAGCTGACATGACATCCAGTGTCGCATTCGGCCGAACAATCGACACCGGTTTGCATATCAACAACTGGGCCGGAGCACGATGGGATACCCAGTGGCTGAGCCTGGTGCACAAGTACATGAATGATGCATTCAGTGCGTATCGGACTCAAAGATGTGGTGCCAGTGACTGACCGTCTTTGCAGCAAACGAGGACGTAGAGAAGGCTTTGCTAGATCAAACGCTAGACGACGCACTGTTTGCCTTCGACCCAGACGTGGAGATCGCCATGAAGGAGGGCCTGTCAGATCATGACAACGACAATTCAGACTCGGACTCCGACACTGACTCCAACGCGGACTCGGGTGATGAAGCACCCGTGAAGAACAAGCGGAAGCGGGCTGATTCCATCCTAGTGGCGGAACCTGCTTCCACCAGCCGGAAGCCGTCTACGAAGAAGCGAAAGTCGACCGCTGCACCTGCTGCACCCGCAGACATACCAGCATCCAGTTCAGTGTCAAGTGCCCCGGTACCATCGCCTGGCATGGCGGGATCGAGGGCGTCTGCCCCCGTGCCTCTATCCCGACTTACGCCTCCCGCACCTGACTCTCCACCTCCTGCCCCTGACTCTCCGCCTCCCACACCTGATTCTCCGCCTCCCGCACCTGACTCTCCACCTCCTGCCCCCGACTCTCCGCCTCCCACACCTGATTCTCCGCCTCCCGCACCTGATTCTCCGCCTCCCGCACCTGACTCTCTACCTCCTGCACCTGATTCTCATCCGCCTCCTGCACCTGACTCTCCGCCTCCCGCACCGGACTCGGCATCGCAACTCGTTTCACCCCCACGCGACTCAGCATCCTGACCTGCGTCACCCCGACCCGACTCTGTATCCGCATTGGCCACATGTCCCGCATCTCCCGCACCGGATCCCGCACCAACGCCAGAGACGGATTGGGGACAGATGAGCATCGGTCAGATCATTGAGGAAACACTGACGAAGAAGGCGAGCGAAGTGCAGATGTCGTGGAACGCTCCGGATGGCTTAGATGTGACAAAGCGGCATCTGTGGGCAAAGGCCCGGAACAAGATTGTGATCGAGCGCGACTTTGCGGGGATATGGCCCCAAGAATCGTTGGATGACGTGGCGAATAAGAAGCCTGCTCCAAAGCCTCGAAAGCGCAAAGCCACAGAGCCCATTCCTGAGGCTGCAGTGGCAAAGCGGACACGGGGATCGCGTGCGAAGGCCGCAGTGGCTGAAGCTGATGCACAGCCAAGCGTATTTACGGTCGCAATACCAGCAAAGGCACCCGATTGGCTTGTAACGCACGCCCGGGTGCTGTCGCAGATTGACCTCGGGATTCACTACCAGAATCTCGTCAACACCTCCATGTGGCTAGAGGCAGCGTTCGGGTTCTTCGGCGACAATTATCACGCACCTGTGCCGACCAAGTCCCGGCCAGCGGCATTGGAGAAATGGGTTGCGAATAAGGGCACGGAGCTTCCAAAGATCAAGGGGAGCAAGACCTTTGCAACAAAGTGGAGAGCGTGGTGGCAGAGCCTACAACCAGATTGGCGGGTGCTGGACTCCTTGGGGCGGTATGCAAAGGGCGGAGATGTGCTGTATGGCAAGGATACGGAGTGGGGTGACCTAGATAGTCCCGGTCCACCTCAGTTACCACCGCCATCACCCGGTTGCACCCCCGCGGGGGTCCTACTGGGTACCCTCAGACGTAGCTCTGAGGGTACCCAACAGGTACCCCCCTGCGGGGCCCGCGGGGGGGTTTTGGTCCATTTGGGGCAGGGGCATATGCGGGGGTCAGCAGGGGGGGGTCTGTACATGTCATGTGATTTATCATTGGGAGCGGGCAGGTGGGCACGAAAAAAAAATGAATCACATGACACATCCAATGGGCGGGATGGCGGCTGATGGCGGGGTAAAAAAATCACGTGATGCACCGCATGAAAATTATCAAAGATGGCTAGCAGGGGTTGGCGGGGGTTGGCGGGGGCGCTACTGGCCCCCCGCACACCATGGCGGGCAGTGGGCGCATTATCACATGACTTTTGGGGCACCTTTTGTGCACCATTTGGCATGATTTCGGAGGTGTTGCTTGATCCATTGCATGCTGTGGCAGACAATGGGCGCATAATCACGTGATTTTCCGCCCAAAAAAATGGAAGCCTTCCCCAAATCATCCTGGTATCATTTCTATCAGTAAATACACTAGTTAAGCATGAATTTGAGCTTAGAAAGCCCAAAATGCACCCTGCACAATGGGACTGGTGATGCACTTGATCCCATCATTTGGCGGGGTCTGCTGCGGGGGGTGCCACGGGGGGTGCCGCAGGGGGGTGCCGCAGGGCCCGCTGTGGGGTCAACCACAGGAGCAGGGGTAGGGGTGCATTGCATCATATTTTGATCTATCTATTCTCGCTGTGGTCATAGCATGCAGCATAATTATCCTTCATTTTGCCAGGAGTTTGGAGGCTGTGTCTGGGGTTGGTCTGCAGCTACAGCCATGTGACTCCCTGATGCTTCGGCAGGGGCTGGGATATCAAAACTGTGCAATATTGTCTGCATAATCCAGGCATGTAGGGTTAAAAAGAAAGTGTGATTTGTTCATTTTTTGGCTGGCAGGGTAGGTGGGCTGACATCATGGGCTGCATTGGGTCCACTGTCAACTCATTGATTGTTTCGTCTGCTCATTCTATACACATGCCCATTGGTAAACTGATCATGCTGTAGGCACAGTCTAATCTTACCCTGTGGATAATACCACACGTTAATTACGCACCTAATGTCACACTTCCTGTCTGGGACTCATTGAAGTTCATCTGTTCTGTGTTACTTTACAAGCAGTTTGCTTTAGTTGCAACATGAACAGATGTAATAGAGTGGATTTGACATGCCCTGAATTGATTCCTAGGTGGAATATGAGACAATGGATTCACCAGCAAGTTGCCTCACAATAGTCAGAGATTGGTAATATTTGAATTTCAAATTTCATATACAACACTCTGTGCACTCAGAGCTCGTATATTTGCAAGATAGACTGTAGAGACATAGATGGTTACTTTTACTACCTCTGGGGCTGCACACATCCTTGCCATGACCCACTGCCTGCACCCCTGCTGGTACCCCCATTGGCACCCCCGCTGGCACCCCTGTTGGCACCCCCGCTGGCACCCCCGCTGGCACCCCCGCCAGTCTAGCACCCCCCGCCGCACCGGTGCCTTGTCCCCGTGATTTTCTTATATGTAAGATTATGTAAACTGACAGCTCGGAACACGTCAAGTCACTAGCCAATCAGAACCTGTATAAACGTCGTACCTAAGTGTTTACTGCTCTTCTAACACTGTTCCTACAGTTATGCAGCTGAAAACCATCGGAATAAGGTCTCCTTCTGCTATTCTTGTTGAATATGTAGGTACTTCATATCCTTTGTCCACCTAAAATTCGAAACATGATGTCAGGGGAACCCCCGCTTCGGACCGCTCTGCCTTCGATCAGGCATGTGATTGCGCTCGCGTGACCTGTCAGCTGTCACGTACCGCGGCCCGGACTGCCGCGCCGAGCACTTCTCTCTGATGGGCACATGGTCAGGTGCCCCATTGTTCCCATTGTCTCGGTTTCCTATTGTTCTCCAATGGCCATTGTACTTATTGTCCCCATTGTTCTTTGTTTGTCGCTGCGTGCTCTATTGTTCTTGTATCATATAAATAGTGGCGCCTGGCAAGGAGAATCCCCAACACGGTTTCTCTCTGGATTCTCCCTTGCCAGGTATGCCGGTCTTGTACCTAGCTACCACTATTAACACTTTGGATTCTCCCTTGCCAGAACTCTGAGATCGGGTCTCGAGGTTGCCCTTACAGCAGAAACCGTGTTCTTAGGGATAACCGGACAAGATTGCGAGGTTCGACGCTGACGCCAGTGGAGAAGAGTCGACGAGCGACCAAGACCACCACTCCCTCACCTCCTATCTTGCCCCCTCCTCCCCTCCACGAGCAGACCCGATGAGCATGGATGACAACGAACAGCAGCGGCTGTCTGCTCTGGAGACCAGCATACAGAACATCGAGGCCGTACTCACCCGCCTCATCTCTCAACAACAACAACCCCCTGCCCCTGCCCCTGCTCCAGCTCCGGCAGCGGGTCCAGGTGTTTCTACTGGCGCCAGCCCTGCGCGCCCCCTTATCCGTCCAAATCCTCCCTTCTCCTTTGATGGGGATCGCACCCTGGGCAAGAGCTTCTTGCATTCAGTGAAGCAGTACTGGCGTCTGCTTCCTGAGGCGTTCTTCGTGAATGGGGCAGTCTCGGAAGAAAAGGTAGTCCGCTTCGCCCTGTCCTACATGTCCAAGGACTCCGCGGCCTCCTGGTCCGACACATGTCCGAGCGCACCCCATTCCCGTTCCCTACTTGGGCTCTCTTCGTCACCGAGTTCAAGCTCCGATTCGTCGAGGAGAACGAGCAAGACCATGCCCTGGCGCGACTGGAGACCCATCTGTATTATATGGGCTCCCGCGACGTGTTCAAGTACACGGACGAGTACGACGACCTCCTTGATCTCGCCGGCTATACCGACGATCTGGTCAAGGTGACCAAATATAGGACGGGCCTGGATCCGAAGATCAACCAGGCTATCACCACCTCTGGCAACCCTCCCAGGCTTACTGACTACGCCGAATGGCGTGTCCGTGCGTTCCGGCAGTACAACGCGGAACAAGCTGCCAAGGCGTCTCGAGGCCACGTCCCTCCCCCCCGAGCGCCTCCTATCGTCCCTCGTCCTCGTGCCCCGCTGCTCCCTGCTGTAGCACCGGCAATTGCTGCTCGCCCGGCGCCGGCTCCTGTCGCCCACCCCATCCCCATGGAGTTGGATCGGACCCGGCTCCGCGGTGACGTTCGCCGCACCTGCTTCCGCTGCGGCAGTCCGGGCCATCTTGCCCGTGACTGCCCCACCCCAGCTGATATCCGTCACACCGATGTCCTCGATGAGGTCATCAATCAGCTGGGGAGTGATCTGCTTTCCGAGTTGGTTGCTCGGGTCGCGACCACTGCAGCCGTTGCGGATCACGCGTCCAACGTCGCAGCCGAGGAGGAGCAGGGTTTTCTCCCCAGCGACGAGTGAGTAGTACGCCCTCGTTCGCTTCACGTAATCGTTTCTCCTGTTTGTATGATGAATCCAATTCCCTCCACTCTGCAACAGTTGAAGCGATAGACGTACACCCTGCTCCCCCTCTAATCCCACGAGTCCGTAAGGAGAAGTGGGAACGCAAGCTCCCTTCCTGCTATGTTGCTGCCGCCTCTCCCGGGGCCAATTCTCTCCACCTCCCCCTCGAGATCGAGTCCACCGACAACGCAGTGAAGTTATCTCTCAAGGGCCTGGTCGATTGTGGTGCCACATCCGACTTCATCGACTCGGCCTACGTCCTCGAAAATCACCTCCCCATTCGTCACCTCACCCAGCCTATCCCCGTTTACAACGTGGACGGCACGCCGAACGAGGCCGGTTCCATTCGCGAAGTTGCTGATGTGGTTCTCCGTTACCAGGGCCACAGTGAACGTGTGCAGCTTGCTGTCACCCGTTTAGGCAAGCAACGGCTCATTCTAGGGTACTCCTGGCTTCGGAAGCACAACCCGGAGATTAACTGGGATACCCAGGAGGTAAAGATGAGCCGTTGCCCTTCTGGTTGCTCCACCTGCCGGGAGGAACTTCGCGAAGAACGTCGATCTGCCAGAACCGCGGCCCGGGTGCTCCGCACCATCAGACAAGGTCCGGTTCCATCCATCTGCGCTGTCGACGTTGAGGACCACGAGGACGAAGAGATGCCGGAGCTTTCGCCAGACTCGGACGATTATGACCCTGAAGATGTCGAAGAAGATGACGACTCCTTGGAAGCCGGTGACCGTATCTTTTACACCCGCTTCAACCCTTCTGAAAACATCCGAGCTACCAGCACCGTCTCTCAGCGACTTGCCGAGGCGTTTGCCAAGAACTCTGCACCTCCTCGGGATACCATCCCCGAGTGGGCCCGCGAGTTCGAGGATGTTTTCAGCAAGGAGTCCTTCGACAACCTGCCAGAGCGACGCCCCTGGGATCACGCCATCGAACTGGTCCCCGACGCGAAGCCGACCAACTGTAAGGTCTACCCCATCTCCCCTCTCGAACAGAAGCAGCTCGACAACTTCATCGAGGAGGGCATGGCTACTGGCAGGATTCGGCCGTCAAAATCGCCCATGGCATCTCCCGTCTTCTTCGTGAAAAAGAAGGACGGCAGCTTACGGTTTGTCCAAGATTACCGAGCACTGAACGCGATGACAGTGAAGAACCGCTACCCACTCCCCCTAATCAATGATCTCATCAACAAGCTCAAGGGAGCTCGGTTCTTCACCAAACTCGACGTTCGCTGGGGCTTCAACAACGTGCGCATTCGTCAAGGCGACGAGTGGAAGGCAGCATTTCGGACAAACCGCGGGCTCTTTGAGCCGTTGGTGATGTATTTCGGCCTGACCAATTCCCCCGCAACGTTCCAGACGATGATGAATGACATACTTCAGGACCTCATCCTCTCTGGCGACGTTATGGTGTACCTCGACGACATTCTCATCGCACATTCCGATATCCACCGTCACCGGGAAATCGTGAACGAAGTCCTCCGACGTCTCCGTGAGAACAAGCTCTACCTTCGCGCGGAGAAATGCGAGTTCGAGATGCCGTCGATCGAATACCTTGGGGTGATCATTTCCCACAACCATGTGGAGATGGACCCGGTCAAGGTCGCAGGTGTGGCGGAGTGGCCAGCTCCGGCTAACAAGAAGGAAGTGCAGCAGTTCCTCGGCTTCACTAACTTCTACCGGAGGTTCATCCGGGATTTTTCGCACGTTGCCCGTCCTCTCTTTGACCTCACCAAGAAGGACGTGGCATGGACTTGGGGCGCCAACGAGGCGGCTGCGTTTCTTGCGCTGAAGAACGCCGTTACCTCTACCCCAGTCCTGCAGCTCCCGGATGCTTCCAGGTCTTACCGCCTCGAAGCAGACAGTTCGGACTTTGCGACCGGTGCCGTCATCTCGCAGCAGTCCCCCGTGGATGACAAGTGGCATCCGGTTGCCTTCTTCTCGAAGAGTCTTAACGAGGTCCAGCGGAACTACGAAATCCACGACAAGGAGATGCTCGCCATCGTCCGCGCCTTGGAGGAGTGGCGACACTTCCTCGAGGGCGCCGAGCACCCCGTTGAGATCTGGACCGACCACAAAAATCTGGAGTACTTCCGGAAGGCCCAGAATCTCAACCGTCGTCAAGCCCGCTGGTCCCTCTATCTGTCTCGCTTCGACTTCACCCTGCATCACCAACCTGGCCGCCTCATGGGCCGCCCGGATGCTCTCTCGCGCCGCCCCGACCACGGAGTCGCTTCGGACAACGCAGACGTCACACTGCTGCGCCCGGAGCTGTTCCATGTCCGGGCCTTGGAGGGTCTCACTGTCTCTGGACCCGAAGCCCCCCTCCTGCGCGACATCCGGGAGGCCCTCGCCGGTACCCCCGACATGGAGGAGCCCATTGTGTTGGCAGCACGTGAGCTCCTCAAGGAACGCGGAGTTCGCTCTGCTCGGGCTGCGGAGTGGCGAAAGGAAGGCGGCCTGCTCTACTTCCGTGGCAAGCTGGTGGTTCCACGCAACAACGACCTCCGCCGACGCATCCTCGAGCAGCACCACGACACCCGCGTCGCAGGGCATGCCGGCCGCTTCAAGACGTTGGAGCTGATCTCTCGGAACTACTGGTGGCCCCAGTTGTCTCGACACGTCGGCCGGTATGTGGCCACCTGCGACCTGTGCTGCCGAACCAAGGCGCTCCGCCAACTCCCAATCGGGGAACTCCATCCCACGGAGGTCCCTTCGGAGCGCTGGGAAGCGGTGTCGGTTGACTTCATTGTGCATCTGCCAGACGCTCACGGGTATGATGCTATCATGGTCGTTGTTGACATGCTTGGGAAGCGCAGCCACTTTATAGAGTGCCACACCCGGCTCTCCGGTGAAGGTGCCGCCAGGCTTTTCTACAAGAACGTCTGGCGCCACCATGGGCTGCCGTCTAAGTACGTCTCTGACCGTGGCTCCCAGTTCATAGCAGAGTTCACGCAGGAGCTGTGGAAACTGGTCGGGGTCTCATCGGCAATGTCTACGGCTTGGCATCCACAGACGGACGGCCAGACCGAGCGTGTGAACCAGGAGCTCGAGCAGTTCCTCCGGATCTTCACCAGCTACAACCAGGACGACTGGGACGAGCTGCTTCCTGCTGCAGAGTTTGCCTACAACAACCATATTCACTCATCCACGCAGCAGGTCCCGTTCATGACAGATACCGGTCGACTCCCTCGTATGGGCTTCGAACCAAATGGACTACGCTCAGCTGTGAACGAGTCGGCAAACGACTTCCGCGACCGCATCGCGTCCGGAGTGGCAGAAGCCAAGTCGGCACTGGTGAAGGCAAAGGATGAGTACAAGCAGTACTACGACCGCCGGAGGGTCTCGGCTCCAGAAATCAAGGTTGGAGATCGAGTCTGGCTTGACGCTTCTGACATAGCAACAACGCGCCCGTCCCTCAAACTCTCTCACCGACGGCTGGGTCCCTTCAAAGTCACCCAGGTTGTTGGGCGCGGCGCTTACAAGCTTGACCTCCCTCGCCGCCTCTCTGGTCTTCACCCGGTCTTCCCCGTTGTCAAGCTGCAGCTTGTGGAGGACGACCCGTTCCCAACACGCCCGGCTCGCGAGGAGCCGCCACCTGTCATGGGCCAAGGAGCTGGCGAGGAGTGGGAAGTCGAAGAGGTTCTGGATGCCAAGATGCGCTATCGGAGCATTTGGTACTTTGTGCGGTGGAAGGGCTACGATTCATCGCACGACCAATGGGTTAAGCACTCTGATATCTTCGCAGAGGACGCTATAGCGGCATTCTACCGCAAGCACCCCAACAAGCCACGCGTCATTGCCGCCGCCATCTTCGACTCCCTTCCGTTCCAGCACCCCTCTGCCACTATCCGCACGTTGCGTCGAGGCGCCGCAATCCAAGGGGGAGGTGATGTCAGGGGAACCCCCGCTTCGGACCGCTCTGCCTTCGATCAGGCATGTGATTGCGCTCGCGTGACCTGTCAGCTGTCACGTACCGCGGCCCGGACTGCCGCGCCGAGCGCTTCTCTCTGATGGGCACATGGTCAGGTGCCCCATTGTTCCCATTGTCTCGGTTTCCTATTGTTCTCCAATGGCCATTGTACTTATTGTCCCCATTGTTCTTTGTTTGTCGCTGCGTGCTCTATTGTTCTTGTATCATATAAATAGTGGCGCCTGGCAAGGAGAATCCCCAACACGGTTTCTCTTTGGATTCTCCCTTGCCAGGTATGCCGGTCTTGTACCTAGCTACCACTATTAACACTTTGGATTCTCCCTTGCCAGAACTCTGAGATCGGGTCTCGAGGTTGCCCTTACACATGAAAACAGTTCACCATTGCTCAAGGTTCCTATGTAGACAATGGTTCAACATGGTTCACTTTGGGTATGGCAAAAAATATTTTTTCTACACACAAGCAATTCAATACAGCTGAATGATATACTCTTTGGCAGTGTCTGAAACAAATTCTGAGAGCCCTGGACCCTGGAACCAGTCAAAAACTTGAAATGAGTCCGAAAAATAGGGTCTTGATAAACATGAGATATGGGCTGGTTTGAAGAGACATGGGCCACCGGTCATGTTGAATATAGTATTTTACAATGTTTCGGTGCCCTACCTCTCATCACATGGCCTCATTTCCGACTAAGAAGCGCACATACACACTCAAGCTCATAAAATCAATTGTCACCCAGAAACAAGAGCAGTGAAGCTGTTTCACTGGGATTGGGTAAAGGTTACCTAGAAGTCACTTGGGTTGCAGTACAGAAGCTTTGGAAAGTGATTTTGTAGTTGATCCACATTTGGTAGGCTGGCAGATGCTTGTGCACCCCCATGGCACCCCCCGCGGCACCCCCTGCGGTTGACC